GCATTCGAGTAGAAGGTATGCAAAAGTCCTGCTATGATAGAGGAGTAAGTGGCTGGAAACGTTGCGTCCAGATTCTCGAGTCGTAAACTCAGCCCGCTGCATAGATTGATCAACCACGCGAAGATGCCCGGGAAGCAGGCATCTTGCGGCCTTCCCAAGATTCAGCGACGATTCCGGAGCTTCAGGACCCTACGTAAAGTATGGGGAGAAGGATTTACCCAGTTTCTCAGCAGGTGAAGGGACTGGGTGAGTACGCCGAGAAAGGTGCGTCCGGTTCTTCCGTTTCATATACCTCTTCACTTCTCACTTTGCAGAGGTCGATGGTTCCTCCAAACGCCTCCTCTGTCATCTCCTCGAACCTTTCTCTATCAAATTACACGGAAGTCGCCTACCTCTCTTTTGATTGGTGTGTACCATTTTTCGACCTGTTCAGCCCCATCCCCAACGTTTGCCTCCGCGTCTGACTGAAAACTTGCTTTCAGAATGAGATGTCACCTTCGAGGACAAGAATGGGGGTGTCTTAGGTTAATCGTGCGTGCTTTCACGAAGGCTGTCAACTGGTGAGTCTAGCCACCTACCTCCGCCTTTGCATGTCAACAGACTTCGTCTCTAGTGCTGCACCGTGCCTATAGCAGCTTTCTTACGCCTGTTACATTTCACATTCTCTTCCGTCTTCCAGGAGGATTAGTTGATGTCGTTGTTGCTGCGCTCCGCTTTCCGCTCTCCGCTCTCCGCCTGACGCTTGACGCTTGACGCGTCAACGCCTTTGTAGCCGCCCAAGCGCTCCAATGTTCCCTCACACGCCATGCAGGACGTGTGTGAAAAATAATTTCAGGGCCATTTCGAGGTACGGTATTATCCAATAGACATGTCTGCTGATCCTGATCTCCCGCGCGCCCACACAGAACTCGGAGTGAGCGCAACATCCGCTTACTTACGCTCGGTCCCTAGGACACAGACACAGTGTTCCGCCACATTGTTCCCTAGACCAAGCCCTTGCGCAGGTAGAGAGTCCTGAGCTACCGGTGGCATGTGTCCTGTTCAGTGGTTCACTAAGTACTCCACTTATGTTGCCCGCGGCCACCCACGCCCGCTTTCTCCCGAAAAAACTCGCAGACGGAACAGACGTTGTGCGCCTAGCGATAGCAAGGACGTGGGAGAGTAAGGGACGTGTCCAGATGGCGACAGCGAGGGCAGAGAGAGAGTCTGAGAGACGGTCTGACTAGACGTGCGGATAGGATGCATGACGTCGCGCGCGTGGGTGGCGGCTCTTCGCGATCGACTTACAGACACCCGTCGCTCGATTAGCGCTTTGTAAAGCTTTAGCTCCCAAGTCGCATGCGCGCCAAACCCGACGTGTCTCAGATCTAGGTGCTTCTTCTTCCCTCTAGTGGGAGACAGTGGGCTGAGATAGCCTTTGCGAGAAGCCGCGTCAGTCTCGCATTCCGTTTTCGAGCGGAGGACGCGCAACGTCGGGCGCCTAGCGTGCGGAGTTCGAAGATGATATAAGCCGAGGTTTCTGCTTCTGCCACCCAACTTCGGTAGTTGCTCCGAGTCCCAACACACAGGCACAGATTTCTTCATCTCGTCGCATGCACGTCTAAACCGACATTTCTCCGGACACTTCTTCCCCCATTTTTAGGGAAATACTCTGCTGCATGCCCCGCCGACAACGCGTTTTCGCCAGACGAGGTTTAACAGACACCCGGCGTACCATACCATTCCAATGAATGTGGTCGCTCATCTGGCGGCGGCCGACATATAGTGAGCAGCCTTTTTTGACCTTTCCTCGGTCTAATGACGCACCAGCGCTTTTGATAGGCCTTGCTCCGACAGACGGGCATGAAATCGCGCTCAATTGCGATCTTACGACTGCACCCAATGTTCCTCGCGTCGCACCCTGACCGCTCGACACGCCGTCGCCTTTCCCGGCCTCCTCTCTCAGATCCCATCACCGCCGGCAGGACACTACCACCGTCTCCCCGAACGACACGGCCGGTTCTCACCTGCGATCATTATACCTGAAAGCCGGGGTTCCCATGTACCGCCGCGCATCCCTCACACGCCCGGCCGGATGTCACAAATCTGCAAGTGAGCTCTCACTACCACGTCCGTGGTAAGTGTTTACCTTTGAGCGGGGTTGTACAAGTGAACCGTTCGGCAATTTGTCCCAAGAATGACGGGAAGAAGCCCGCTCTCCTTCCAGTCGTTATCGGAACGATATGTCACTCGCGAAAAGTGCTGTTCAAAGCAGTGTGGGGCGGGGATGCAGGGAGAAAATGCACGTATGGCCTGTGTGCCTGTTCGCTACCGCGCCCGCTCTGAGCATGTTTGAGTGGGAACAATGAGGGAGCTCGAGAAGCGCTACAAGCGTGGCAGGCTAGGCTGGCGAGCATCTTCTACGCAGCCTCCGCGAGTTGTAAGAGTGCGGACGGGGACGCCCTCGCAAAAGCCACGGCTTGCGGGCCCAGTGCCCCTGTGGCAGGGCAGGCTCTCGCGAACAGTTAGCACACCACATTGCGGAGGAGATCAGGGCTATTACTCCTACTCCATTGTTCCGCTCGTTCTTCGCCAATACGGCCGTCTATACGCCACGCACGCCGTCACGCCCGATGGGCTTTTGAACATGTAGCATCGCGGGACAGGTGTTGTATTATTCGCAGGAATAAACAATCGTTAAACGAAGATCCAGAGTGCACGCTCTTAATTCTGAGAATATCATCGCACGCATCTCATTTGGTTCTGGATGGTATTTCCTAGCCTCACACGTTTATAGACTTGTATCACACTTTGAAACCTACTTTGGATTCTTCCTGTTCATCAAGAATCAATACCTCATCCAACAGAACTTCATGCCAGATGTAGAACGTAAGTGGTGCGTCAGAACACCGCAACTTTTTTTATTGTGCGCGTGACACGTCAATTGACCATACTCCGCGCTGGCCTGCAGGTGGTCAGCGTGATCGTGGTCCTCGTGAATGAGTGTCTTTATCTCGCACGCTTTTGTCGTTAAATTGAAATCCTTCGGCGAGGGCGAACTTGAGCTAACGAGCGAGCTCGAGACCAGCGGCCTCGGCACATTCAAATAAGGCCCATAACACTGGCGGAGCACTTTCGGCCTGTCAAATGGCCACCAACGCGTACCATCTTGCCTTCGTTTTTCCTGTGGATCCTTCGCCGAGGGCTCACCGCTCTTGGTGTTCTAGAAGGCACTAGGCGACTTGAAAAGCAAAGACCAGCGGTCCGAATATCCGCGTGGACGGCTTCATCCGGTGATCATCTCTCCCATCTACTGATATGCCTTGTCCTATTGGAAGGCCGTCAACGACTTGGCTTCTCTGCATCTTCACAACGTCCATATTCGATTTCCCTTATCTTAAGGATCGCCGAACTCACTGCTCTCCGCTGCTACGCCATCAACGGTCGCGCGTCCCGCCCTCTTCGCTCGCCCTTGAAGTACTCTGCGATCGTGCGCTCTGTCCAGGTGGCTTCTAGCTACATACAGGAACACTTCGATTCTAAGCTCGTAATCGTCCCACTTTCGGTGCGCATGGTTCTACATAGCTGGCTTGATCACCCCCTGATAAAGGCTCGTTCTACATGTGCAGGCGCTGCTCAGGATGGGAGTTCGCATCGTGAACGCCCTGGTAGCCTTTATAGGCCTCATCAACTCCGTTTTGGTTGCAGCGATCCGATATGCAGGCAACGTTTCCCTCGGTCTCACTCGCAGGCTGGATGCCCCCGTAGGCGTTACCCCTGGCGATATGGGCGACTCTTCTGTCCAAGCAAGCCGCGACTCTTGCCCACTCAATCTTCACATGCTTCCCTCGTCCGACTCTTTACGTCGGAATGAGGCGGCGCTTCCTCGACCGCTCCCAGGCCAGTCGGTGGCCGAGGAGTTGTGTCGTCTCCTCCGTTCTTGCCCGGACTGGGAGTCCCTCATAGATATCCATACGACCTCTTCAATTGTCGAAGGAGAGATTTTTCAAGGCGGGCGTCTCTCCGGGCTTGAACGCGGGGATGTCTTGTGGGAGCCCCTTCACGAGATGGTGGTGCCAGACGGGAACTTGCAACTCTTTGTCGTCAACCTTGCTTTGGAATCCATCCCCGCTAGTTCGCATCTTCACCTGTATGTCGCCACCGACTTCATCACGCCTCTTGGAGCCCCTGTTTCGGTCTCCTCTCCGCATGCCACCGCCCGCCGTGGCCGCACGCCACGCCTCGCCAATGCGTGTCACTAGGCAAGGACCCCGTTCCCGGCAGTCTCTCACCAAACCTCTATGCCCTCTCATCCGTTATCCGAGTTCCTCGATGTCGATCGTATAGGTAGTACAACATGCACAGCTCCACAAGCCCCGGTAAGCCTCTATTGCTTCGACGTCGAACTTTTCTATCATAAACATACACGCTGATAGTTTCCGTTCTCTATCAGGCCGTTTCTTCCTGCGGTGCAAAAAACGTGCGCACCAACCCTTCATCGAGCAAGGGAATGGAGCAGTAGTCGTAAGCAGAAGATTTTTCACGTCACGGCCGATGGCGACACGTACATTACACATTACGATACTGTTCTTCGAGCTTCTTGCATTCAGCCTCCATCTCGTCTAATCTATCCTGAATGCGCTTGAGACGTTTCTCGTATGCCTGAGACCGTGCTTCTACCTCCTTGACGTGACGACACCAATTGTTCACCTGAAGCTGGTTGAATTGATGTTCCTCTTGTAGGAACTCGTTCCTCCTGTTCAAGCTGACGAGATTCGACTGCTCCTCCAGTTGTTTGAGCTCGGAAGATGTGGCGCTAACGCTGTATCATGATACTGCAGTTCGATAGGAGGAAGTAGCAAATACCTCAGTACGTCTTTCAACAGGTTCCGGTCATAGTCGTCTTCGTCATAAGATATGAAAAGCTTGATCAGCTTGTCTTTTTCCCGGCAAGGGGCGGAGCATGCAGGGCACGTCGCCGCTGCCGACCCGGCCTGGACCTCGAAGCAGCCCCGGTGGAAGATATGTCCTGCACTTGAAATGTGAGTTGCGTACGCTGATGTGCGCCTGAGACTGCGTACCGCACGTGGTCACAACGGTTTCGGTGTCGACCGTGGCAGAGTCGGAGTCGAGTAGGAAAGGAGATTCGCAGATCGTGCAGATGTGATGCATGCTGTGGCCGTTAGCTGCAAACTTCTGCTGCCGCACACATATATGGGCGATGCCCGCTCGCGCGCGGCAAAGTATGTTGGGCGGAGCAGCTGAAAGCCCTTGGGGGAAGAACGTTCTAAGCCCCGTTTTCACGAACGTTCTAAGCCCTTTGAAAACATAGCCATAGGCTTCAGACGACGTACTACGGTAGGTGTAGAAAGCTGCGCGGGGGAGCGAATGTGCATTGTCCATATTCGGCCCGGGTTGCGGTCCATTGTCGGGCCGGTGCCTACCGGAACGTCATGACTTACACCTGCGCCTCTTCCGATCAACCTCCTCGTAAAATCTGCTTAATGTCAGCCTAGCGCATGCTACTCACTTCAGGCTGTGAATAAGTCTCGTCCACGCTTCTGTCGCATCGTCTGCGCTCGTCTGCTCCTCCTTTTCCTCTCAGATATCTCTTCGGGCAAAGAACTCCGGATCCGAGTAAACTCTTTCATGTGCGGCGCCTTTGGAGCCTTTGGATCCTTTGGGTCCCCGGGCATCATCATTGCAGGACCCACTCCCTGTTCGCATCGCACT